GGGAAGAAGTGGAAAAACTATTAGAAAATGGCTCCATCAAGGAGTCGAAGTACCCCCAGTAGGTTGCCAACATGGTAAGGGTGAAAAAGAAGAATGGGAAATGGCGAATGTGCGTAGATTTCACAGATTTGAACAAAGCATGCCCCAAGGATTCGTTTTTATTACCCCATATCAACTAACTCTGAGACGCAACGACCGGGCATGAATTACTAAGCTTCTTGGATGCTTATTCAGGCTATAATGAAATCCTCATTGTTGATACCCAATTTTTCCTATATATATTTTTATATACATATATACCTTCAAAATAGCACGCACATATATGCATATATAAGTATGCACAACGTTTTTATATTTTTCCTATATTTTTAAAGGCTATAAATTGATTTATTTCTTCCCCTTTTACTTATACAATTTCCAATAATTATCCCTTAAATTAGTTGTTGTGGAAATTTAGCCATCTAAATCCTATATTTATGCCAAATAGTGCTTAAATATTTTCTGTGCATTTTTATAATTGCATTTATATTTTTAAAGCCAATTTGCATATAATTGCAATATTAGCCATATTAATGTATAATTACATTTATATACATAAAATGATCTTCTATATTTTTAAAATATTAAATATCTATTTTAAATTATTTTAGTGCACGAAATTATTTTTTATAAATCATTATTATTTATTATAAATTATATAGGGTTAAATTGGCTATTTAAAATTTAGCTTGTATTTCAATTTTAGCCTCAATTCAACCCAATACCCCAGCCCAATTTTAGATCTACTTACAAGACCCAGGCCCTAAATACACCTACCCAACCCAAAACTCATCAGATCATCGTCGTTGATCTGAAAGATCAACGGCCCATATTTGTTCTTTCCTTTTTTATTCCAAACGACCCCCCAACCCTAACCATTTCGCCACATCCGCCGCCCTAAAATCCTCTCTGCCCTCAAAACACTCTCAACGTAACCCTAATCTTCAACCGCCGACCTCTCAACTTTGGTGACCTCTCATTGACTCTTAAGCATCCAATGTCCTCTCTCATATCATGCTTGCCTTCTCTAAGGTCTTCAAAGGCCCAGAGCCATGTCGACTTGCATCTAGGGCTCATTTCCTACCCGTTCTTGGCTATTCAAGTGTGATTTCAAGCAAAATCATTCTATATTTGCTACGTTCCTTGGATTTCTGGACAGGTTTCTTCATCTCTATATGGGTTCTTTCGAAACCCTAATTTCTTTTTTATACCTCCTAGATCTATATAGATCTAGGTCGATTTGAGTTTGTTTCTTGAATGTTTTACACTATCCTCGAGGTTCTTTCAAGAATCATGTGATTTCAAGTGTTTTCGTCTTCTTCTAAAACTAGGGTTTTCGGAACTTCTTTTTTAAAACCTTGTTTAACCGATTCTTTGTGTTTAAACTTTTATTTCTTGCATATCTTGACTGATTCTATGAGTTTACTATATCTTTAACTTGTCTATGTTGAAAGCCCTAATTTTTAGGGGTTCTTCGTTTGGTTCTGTGTATCAACATGACTGACCGGTTCTCGTTTTTGAGTTTCTGTGATTTCTCGTGACTATCTTGCCTTGATATGTTTCTATTGAGTTTCTTAGCCTAAATTTACACTGATTCTATATGCTTGTGTCCATCTTGACTGTTCAAGACTTGTCTCTTTCTCATTGAATTAGTATTGTTTAACTTTCATGCTTGCTATAGTTGTATGTCGACTCTTGACTATCCATGTCAAACTTTATTTATATGTTAAACGCTAAGTCTGTTCACGACTCTCTCTTTGACTAATTCTGAATTCCTTATTTCTTGGTTTGATTCAAAAACTTTCCTTTAAACCTTCGATTCTTTCTGTTTAAACTTGGCTTATTTGCTTATTCATGGAAACCTATGTTATTTTCCTCAAATCAGTGTTATTTTGAGTCCTTGATTCACTGATTTGCTATGGTAATACATATATGTTGATTCTCGATTATTTCCATATTTTGCAACCTTATTTAGTTTTCTTACCTTATTTGATTAACCGTGTTATTTACTGATTCTTCACTAACTGTTTCCTTAATTGAACCCTTGTGTATTTACCCCTAATTGTCTACTCTTTACCTAAGTCTTACTTGATTTTCTTTCCTTAAATATGTCATGCTCTTTACCGTTAGTTAATTACCACTTAATTAAGGGAAGACTTGCTGATTTTGTGCCTGACTGATTCTGTGGCTTCGTTAATTGTTGAGGACTGATTTCCTTTACCTTATTTTACTCTGCTCTCAACTACTATATATACTCTCCTCTATTCTCACTTCCAGACACGAACACTAGTTCAATAATTCTCTCTTACACTTAAAATCTCTCTACTCTTTCTTGTTACTTGCTACTTTTATTGAACTAGCCGGCTGTAAGCCAAGGCTAGTATTTGCACTATACCTTCTCTATACTCTGTGTTTGCTCTCCTTAATTGGTATGTCCTAATTCAATTTCAAGTCCAAAACCCTATGTGTTCTGTTATTGCTTTTATTTATTTATTTCCAGTCTTGTTCCTACTTACTATTTGGCTGTTCAATGTGTAACTAGCATGTCTAAATCATTATTTCACCTAGTATGCCTAAACTACATTGCTTAATCACTAGCATGTATGAATTCTGTCCTGTTTAACTTGTGATTAGTATGTCTAAGGATCTGCCTATTACTTTATCCATCATGCCTCAACCTGAGTTGTCCTATGTATGTAGGGATGTTTTGATCAATCTGTTTACTTAGGTTTTGGTTTAATCTGTTATGCTAAGTTGCTTAATATCTCTAGGTAACTCTGTTTCTATGTTTAATTTTTCCAAGTGTAATATGTTTCCACATGGTTGTTCTGTGATTCATGCTCTATGTCTCTACTTCCAGTTGTATGACTAATTCCTTAATCCTATAAAACTTTAGAAAAGCTTTTGTGCTCCTGTTGTTATGTGCTTCATTATGACATTGATGTGTTCTTTATGTCCCCAATTCCCACTACCCCTATGTGAATTCTATTGTTAAGAGATGTTGGACATGTCTATCCTGTAGCTAGCCTGTTTGCTTGTTGATTTTCTTTTAAAATGTTTACATTATTTTCAAACTGTTTTACTACTGATTAGTCCTTATTTTCAGAAAACTTCTTTACTTATTGAATCAATCCAGTACTATTCATGTCAAAACCTTTTCAAAACTATGTTAAGCACCCCACTCTACTCCTAGGTCTTTAAGTTCTGCCCCTCTAGTATGTGACTGTCTTGGGAAACCTATGAGATCCCTCTAAACTTTGATGCACTGGAGATGGCTCTTTCACACTACAATTACTCAGTTTTGGTTATAAAGTCTAGGTTTGAGCACTTTCCGGAATCCTTGAGATCCTTAGGGAACTCTGACGCACCTAGACAATGATATTGTCTATGGAATTTGGCATCTGAGGCTATTGGAAGTTTGGGAAATCACTTGGGCATACTTCAGGCTCCCTATAGTGTAATTTCTTCTTTTTCTTTTATCTATTTATGTAATTTATTCACCTGGTTTGTAACAAGTATTTGTAAACGAATATTGAGGTGATTAGTGAAAATGGGCGGGTAGTTACATATTTGTGGGGTAGTATTGGTAGAAACCAAGCCTATAGGATCATATTAATATACTTGTTATGTTTGTCTTACCATGCTAGAAATCATGCCTATAGGGGTTAAGTGGTTTCAATTATAGAAATCATGTCTATAGGTTTAAAAATCAACTCTTTAAGAAGATACAATACTTATAGAATGTGAATTGATTCAGTTTCTATTACAACGGGTATTTACATTTGTTTTCATTAGATATCATGCCTATAAGTTTCTAACATTAGTTCTTAACAATTAGATACCATGCCTATAGGAATTAAAAAATCAGAAATTCTACCTATAGAATAAAAATCAATAAGTCAGTTTAATTCATGTTAGTTTACTTCAAAACTGGCCTAATCAATAATTTGTTTTCCTTAAATAAATTCTTTCAAATACTGCCTTCACTGTCACTAGACAACATGCCTATAGGAACTCAAGAGTCCGTTCTAAAAAATGGTCACTACTTTACTATATCAACGTAGTTATCATGCTCTTAGGACATCACTGTTCTGCGTTTAGGCAAGCCTATAGGGCGATTTTAAATTCTGCAACTCTGAAACTCTTTTTGCTGCTTAAAGCTGTTCAGATTTAACAGGCTTAAAATCAGTAGGCAAACTGATAGGGCCATTACTTCTGAGTTTATAAAATAAACTAAAACTGAGCCTCTTATTTGCTCTTTTCTGCTTTTAGTCGCTAAGAGTCCTATGTGTTCTTGCTTGTTGCCTTAGTATTTTCTTCTTTAATCCTTAAGAGTCTGTCTAAAACTGCCTATAGGTAGAGGTCCTAATTTCCTCCAGGACCATTAAGAAGGGACGAGTAACAGCACGCAGTAGAGATTGCTAACCAACACTCACTTTAATAACCGCTAAGGGGTGGGAAGGGTAGATATAGGATATGATGACTACACTCTAATGTCACGTGTAGCCCCT